ACAGCTAGATGGATAGATAGATAGATAGATAGATAGATAGATAGATAGATAGATAGATAGATAGATAGATCTGGTCATTCATTCTGGTCTCTCTCTGAGCTCTCTCTCCTGCGGGACAGGGCTTCAGTGCAGTGGCAGAGCAGTTGGTGTTCCAGGCACGCATGGATCAAGTGGCGATGAAATATTAACATATATATTTTTATGTCCCTTTCTCAGCCATAAGAAACGAGTGGAGCTGTTACGATGCATTACTTTAGAGGACAAGGGGAGATAAACTGTTTGCCATTTGAGTTATTGATGAGGAAAGCCGTGTTTCTAAAATTAAAGCACTCTGTAGGTTTATGCACGTGTGTTTGAAATGAATAATTCAACAAACCTGCATGGCTTTTTTCAGGTTAAAGGGTTCATATCATAGATTCCTTTTATAATTTTCCCCCTGATGTGCACTTAAAATGTTAGAAGCTTTGAAATTACTAGGGACCTTGTTAAAAATAAACTTCAGCCCTTCGTTTATAATGCCATGATCCTTTTGAAGGATCTGCATAGCCGTAGGTGCTACACACACTGAAGAACATAGAATAGCATCTTTTATTCTTCTTCCACTGGTTTCTGGTCACTGATTAGCCATTGTTGACATTCAAATGTGATTTGATATGTTAATGGTTTTGCATTTCTGATGTCAGAAATCCAAAGATATTATTATTTTTAATAGTATAATATATAATATTATTTATATATTTTTTTGTAAATTTTTTATTATTTTTATTTATTTAAAATTTAATTTTATGTGTTCATATAGTGGATCAAGCTAAATAGACAGATATTCTATAACTATTCTAAATTAAGAAATAAATATCAGTAATTTTAGTAATAATTTAATTTTAATAATAATTTATTTTAAATAAAAAAAAAAATCGAAAAGTTATTTTGTTGTATGAATGGATGGATGGATATACTATAAATATTCTAAATTATTACATAAATATAAATTATTTTAATGATAATTTTACTTTACCCATGTTTTCATAGTGGATCAAGCTTGTTTATTAAAATAAAATAAAAATAAGTTATTTTGTTGGATGAATGGATGGATATACTGTACTTTAAATATTCGAAATAAATAAATAAATAAAAATTATTGTAATGATACACTTTACCCATGTTTTCATAGTGGATCAACCTTGTGTATTAAAATTAAATTAAATTAAATAAAAAAAATAAAAAAATAAAATAAAATAATATATTTCTAACCACTCTATATATGACCCATTAAAGTCTACATGAGACAAATATTAGGTTAAAAAAAATATGTAGGATGGGGCTTGATTTTACAGTATCTATTGAGATTTGATGGTTATTTTATTCATTAAATAATTTTTTACAGCACACATGGCAACAAAAGAAAAGCAGAAAAGTCATTTCAGAAGTCATAAAAGTTATTATATTTTGATGAAAGTTCATGAAAACCAACTTTTTTTAATTTATAATATGCATTGTTGAATCACACTTAATTTTTTTTTTTTTTTTTTTTTTCTATTTTTTGTATTGCATTTTTTTTTTATTCTTTCTATTATAAATGATATTGTTTGCAGTCTTACATTTGCATGGTTTGGTTTGGCTTTCATGAAATTATTCTTGCAACTAATCTGGCAGCATTTTCATAGTGCGCTTTTATTGAATATTTGAACATTATAGAAAAGGCAAGGGCAGATCATGAAGTGACATTTTGAGTAAGTGAAGTAGTAGGATTGACATTTCAAATGTTAAAAGCTTTATTTCAATGAGAGAAACTCTTCGGTTCATCCTTAATATTCCTAATCCACTGATGCACCTCATATGGATTTCACACAGATCACAACAAATACTCTCAACCTTTTAGCAGTAAAACTCAAGTTAAAGTTGACAAAGTTTCTCTTTATTCTATCCTTTACTATTTTACCCATTTTATCTCAAGCTTTATTGATTTTTAGAACACTTCTGGGGCCACACAAATATAAGCATGTTTGGTTTTGCTTCCAGTGAGGTTATTGAAGAAAGAGGCACAATTATGCAACCTGGAGTTGGTGATATACTGAAGGTCAGACTGACCTCAGTGACTCATTCCTGAATTATATCCACTTTACTTCATCTGCGATTTTGTGTAAATAGCCCGGTCCTTCACTGTTAAGCTACCACATCTGAACTTTGTATTATTATTATTATTATTATTATTATTATTATTATTAAATACTCTAGGGCTAATTGTAGTCCAGATCCAAGTTAATGCAATTGATTGAACCATGCTTAGAAAGTTGGCATTGCGATTGTCACAATGTTTTGGAAAAATCAGCCTACAAATTAATTACCTGCTGTCTGTAAACGGTATAAATTGCATTGGAAAAGTTGCACACACCAGCTTTAATATGCAATTTATAATCTTTAATACTCATAGTTTGATATCTGAAAACTTTGCTTTCATACTTTGGGACTTTTAGGGCTTTTTTAGTTGCTAAATGTTATGTAACACCAGAATAAACTTGGATTGGCAAATGCAGAAAATTGTGTTGTTTTGTTTTGTTTTGTGTTTTGCCTTGTGTTTTGTTTTATGTTTTTTTTTTTGTGTGTGTGTTTTGTTTTGTTTTTGTTTTGTTTTGTAAATTAGCAGTCACTTTCATCCAAAACATCTAAGTTCTTACAAATCTAGCTTCCTTTAATTGACTCTTGGGAATCTAATCTTCTCTTATTTCTTGATTCACACCTCTAATCAGGTCGTAGACATTTGTAGCCATCAAATCGTGAAGTTCGAATCTGCTATCCTTTGGTTTTGAGCTTGGTTCTTTCACCACTGCCATTCTATCCCCACATTTAATCTAGTCAAAACTTCTCAGTTATCCTAAAAGTGTCACCCATTAATAAGACATAACACTGGAGAGATTCAGAACTTCCCTCTGTACTGTAGCTGATGTTCAGCAGTAGAAGCTTCATTGTTTTTTGATGGTTTTAAGGGTCTTTCACTCATTCCTCCTTTGTGTGCCTCAGGTGAGTTCGGGGAGGTGTATAAAGGTCGACTGAAACTGCCTGGAAAACGAGAGATCTACGTTGCCATCAAAACACTGAAAGCAGGCTATTCTGAGAAGCAGAGACGTGACTTCCTGTCCGAGGCATCAATCATGGGGCAGTTTGACCACCCCAACATTATCCGCCTGGAGGGTGTGGTCACCAAGAGCCGACCGGTCATGATCGTCACAGAGTTCATGGAGAACGGGGCACTCGACTCCTTCCTTAGGGTAAGTGCAACATCCAAAACAAGCAACCTCTGTGTCTCTCTCTCTCTCTCTGTCTGTTTCATTCTTTCCCTCTGGTGTGGAGAAATATGCTGCTTAATCGATGTTCAGCCCATTTTTTTCAATCTCATGGATTGGTTCTCCTTAGCTTTGATCTGGTGCCGCAATAAAGGGCCTCTTTGAAGTTGGCTTAGAAATCCACCACATCCGAGTAGCGTCGCCATCGATCCACAGCCCCACCCCTGTCTGTTGCATGCACCGTGCATTTGATTCAAAGCTTTCGCTTGTGCAACATGGCGGCTGTGTACAGAAGTTTCGAAGGAACTGTAAGGTCTCCCACTGTGTGCTGTAAACACGTTGTAGACAGCTACTGATGAAGAACATTAAACACAAATGGTGCACGAAAAGAAAAATCAATGTCTCTTTTATAGCCGTGCTCATGCACAAGATATTTAATCCGTGCTGCTGTTTAGCTTAAATTATTGAAGGGTCTGCCCCTGTATGAAGCGATCATTTTATTAATTAATTAGTTTCTAAAAGATTAAAGCACATTAATGTCTCAGAGCAACATGCATCTGTTTGATTTCACACTAATTGCAAAGACAGTCTACTGCAGCTGGATCAAGCGTACAGTGGAGATAAAGCAGCAGTTTATGGAGAACCTCTAGACTCTGGACCATTTCATACTAGAGCTAATGTAGATGTGAGTCTGTGGGATGTCAAATTTTGAGTTTGGCTGGTGTGAATGTTGGTGTGAACTGTGTGGTTCCTTTATGCAGATATGCTATAAAATATCTGTCTATCTATCTATCTATCTATCTATCTATCTAACATTCTATCTATCTATCTATCTGTCTATCGTTCTGTCGTTCAAACACTATCTATCTATCTATCTTATCTATCTATCTATCTATCTATCTATCTATCTATCTATCTATCATATTTAAAGGCACTCACAATTCAATTCTGTCAATCATGTATCCTGGAGCATGTCCTGCTTTGACAAATCATGTTAATGCTTTTGAAACAGAGTTAAGTGGAAATAGATTATTATATTTTTAATTAACCAGATACTGCATAGCCAAAAAATGTGTTTACAGCTAAACACCAGGAGCTCCTTTAGTTGAGGTTTGACATACTGATGAACGTCATATGATATTTGTGTTTTTTCGTGGCAGCAAAATGATGGGCAGTTCACAGGGATCCAGTTGGTGGGGATGCTGAGGGGAATTGCTGCTGGCATGAAGTACCTGTCGGAGATGAATTACGTCCACCGAGACCTGGCCGCCCGCAACATCCTGGTCAACAGCAACCTCGTGTGCAAGGTGTCGGACTTCGGCCTGTCCCGTTATCTGCAGGAAGACACCTCTGACCCCACCTACACCAGCTCACTGGTAAGACTTTGCCCAGGCACGTCAGACTCACCACCTCATTTCAACAGGAGCCAATAGGTTCCATGTTTTGCACTGTTGCTTGAGATAATTGAAAAGACAGGTATTGAGCGTTTGTAATTGCTCCTCATTTCCTCAAGCTTTGGTTTTATTTTCTCATTCTTGTCTGCTTTGTCTTTTATTCCCCAAAATGTCTCCAGAAAGAAACAGTGCATTGTCTCCCTGACAGGACATGAGCGATTCCTGGAAAAACTGCATTTAAACTCTGTATGTGATTGAACACAGCCAAGTGACTGGACTTCCAATAGCCTGCCTCCCAAATGGAGCGCTCAGACTTCCAGAATTCTCTATTATGTATCATTAATAGGCATCCAGGGCATCATTAGCCCTCCTGTGCTGCGGATCTTTAATATTAATATGAAATACTATTTTCTCCTGCCTCCTTAAAGACTCTCTATTCAGAGCGCTGTGATATTTTTGGTGCCACGGATTCGCCACGTTCGTAATTATCTGGGTTTACTGATAATTCATTGTCTTGTTCCGCCTTATCTGACCCTGTTATGATTTCTGTATTCAGGCTGGCTTCCAAAGCGCTGGTCACATTGACAGTCGCACTTTTAACAGGGTCAACCGTTTCCTCCGCATTGGAGAGAAACAGCCCTGGGTCACATCCTTTATTGAACGCGTTTTAAATTCACTTCAGACTTCTCATAGAAATGTCCCATGCATTGTAAGCAAACAATTTCATCTTTTACACTCGGGTGGTTCCTCAGCGCTGGTGAGCATAGATGTGAGGCAGATGATAAGGAGACGAGACGACAGACAGGGAATATGTAGCTAACGTTTTGTCTCTCTTAAAATGTGTGAAAGCTCATTAAGCCCCAAAGGCAGCCGCCATTCACAAACAGGATGTCCTGCGGTGACTGTTGATTGACAGGAATATGTGGCAAAGGTGTGAACGGGGGTGTGATACTGATGTGACTTTGCTGTCTTCCTTACTGATAGAGAGAGGATTTAATTACCCCCTGGGTTTTTGCCGTTTTTTTTTTTCACTTGTCAGCTTTTGATGGCCTGTTTACTAGTCTTACCTATCTGTCTGTCTGTCTGTCTGTCTGTCTGTCTATCTATCTATCTATCTATCTATCTATCTGTCCATCCGTCCATCTTTCCATCCGTCCATCTATCCATCCGTCCGTCTGTCCATCTGTCCGTCTGTCCGTCTGTCTGTCTGTCTGTCTATCTGTCTGTCGGTCCATGGATAGAATAATTAAAAACGCAAACAGCTCAGTCACATTCAGTCGTTCAGTCTGGACATGCAGTACAGCCAGATTATGATCTGGACTCTGAGGACGGGACATTTGTAAGTACGTCTGCCCATCCGTCTGTCTGTCACTCCGACATTTTGCCTTTTTAAATTTGTTTTCAGCTGATTTATGTTCTGTGTTTAACTTGACGATAACAATCTTGTACTAAAACACACTCAAACTCTACCCAGAGAGTTTCTCACCCGAAACTGGACGGTTCTTGGGCTTGGAGGAGATGATACAGAGAAGGGAGTGAAATTGAAAGGGAAGAAATAAAGAAATGTCCCTCACTTTCCCAGCATGAACACAGATTTCCCTCTTGCTGTCAGCATGACAAGTGCAGTGGCTGTGTGCTGCAAATGGAAAATAAAATTATTTACACTGAGGTGGGATCTGAATGTGTGACACCCCCTCGCCCTGCCACCCTCCTCTCTGTCACTTTCTGTTTCCCTCTTCCTCTTCCTCTTCCTCTTCCTCTCCCATCCGAGGGATGCGATTTGGCGTGCCGGAGTGGGGAATGTGACATGCTCATTTTCTCTTTCCTCTGTTTACTCACCATTTCAATTCCTTCAGTTTTCCCTTACTTGTCTTCTCAGTTCCAGGTGTTGAAGTCTGATGTCCTGTAGCATCTTCTGCAATTGTGTAGTCTAGTTCAGCCAGACTTTTGCCTGTCGGCATCAAGACTGGCTCACATTACGGCTTATTCTGGCCAAGAACTGTCAGTTAAACTAGTTCACATTGCCCAGCTTGGTTTGTTAGAGCAGTGCGAACTAGCCTGAGACATGAAGAGTCCATCTGACCATCATGCAGTTGTCTGGTTTTGTTGGATCAGTGTTGGCAATTCTGTCATTCATGTAGCTCAAGCAGAGCTAAGCTCAAGCTCAAATTCCTAAGGAATACTTGGAGTGATAAAAATAGGGAATTCTTAAGGGATAGTTAAAAATACACAAAAAATAAAAAAACACTGTCATTAATTACTCACCCTAATGTCGTTACAAACCCGTAAGACTTTTGTTCATCTTCGGAATACAAGTTAAGAAATTTTTGAGGAAATCTGAGAGCTTTCTGACCCTACATAGACAGCAACACAACTACCACGATTAAGGCACAGAAACATAGTAAGGAATTGTAAGGACAAGCAGAGGAATGCACAGGCATGCATCATGGTACTCTTGTGAATGGTGGCTGACTGACCCAGAAAAGAAGAAAACGTTGAATAAAGTTGTTATTTTTGTTTTCTTTGCACACAAAAAGTATTCTCGTAGCTTCATAATATTACGGTTGGACTACTGATGTCACGTGGACTATTTTAATGATGTCCTTACTACATTTCTATGCCTTGACCGTAGTAGTTCCTTTGCTGTCTATGGAGGGTCAGAAAGCTCTCGGATTTCATCCTAAATATATTAATTTGTGTTACAAAGATGAACGAAGGTCTTATGGGTTGGGAACGACATGAGGGTGAACGACATTTTTGGGTAAACTACCCCTTTAAAATTATTAAATTAAAATGTCAAATTTAATCAACATACGGATACTGTTAAACAAAATGGATTTAAGAAATAAGCTTCTCATTTCTCACAGCATCAAGCTGGTGGGTATGAGTGTTTACGGAACATAACCCTGAGAACAATGTGAAATATTCAGGCGCACTCAGTGATATCCTGTATATTTGTTACTAAATGTCTCAAATAAAACTTTGAATATGCTTTTCAAATATTTTTGTTGACACGAACCTCCATTGGCAAACATTATGAGGCTAAAGCCAGTGGAAAAGAGAATGCATGACCTCACCACTATCAGATTTAGTACATGTACAGTCTGTTCACCTGCTAAATTACATCTCAGGAAGGACGAATGAGGAGAAATGCATCTGTGTGTGTGTGTTTGATGTAGTATGATAAATGTCAAGTGTCACAGGTAGCTAAGCCAGTATAAGCCCATCAGTTATTACATTCCCCATCTGTGTGTGTGTGTGTGTGTGTGTGTGTGTGTGTGTGTGTGTGTGTGTGTGTGTGTGTGTGTGTGTGTG